GGAGGAGGAGGAGGAGGAGGATGTCGGGGAGGAGGAGGAGGTCGTGGAGGCGGGTGAAGTGGGAAGAGGAGAGAGACCTCACCTGGAGGAGGCCGAATGCAGACAGTAGCGGCAGCGGCGGCAGTGGCGGGAGCTATGTCTCCAGCGGCAGCAGCAGGAGCGGTAAGGGCAGAGGGACACGACGTCACGGTGTCGAATGGCACAGGCGACGTCAACTCCCTCACTCAATGGGTGCAAAAAAAAAAAAAAAAGGGGTAACTTCGGCGCAGTCACGAAAACAGTTGTCGAATGGCACAGGCGACGTCGACTCCCTCACTTCAGGCAATCCCGCGAATACAACACACCCCCACGTGCCATTACAAACTCAAACCCTGACTGCGCCGTAGTTTTCTCAAAAAAAAAAAACAAAAAACTACGGGAGTGCCCGAAGTGCGATTACAAAGTGTTTTCCTGACTGCTCCGAACTAACAAAAAAAAAAAAGCAGTGCCGGGCCTTTTTTTCCACTGCCGTTTCTCGCCGCGCCACGCCAGCGGTTGTTGTTCGTCCCTTGCTCCTGCGGCGTAGCGCAGCTGGTAAGGTTGGCAGGTGGCTTTCAGGACATGTCGGGTGCAATCTCCATTGGCCCCAGTCTGCTAAAGTTCACCATGTTCTACGCCACTTCCCACTTGTCGACGACCACGACAAAACGTCCATGTACATCCAAGGTAGTCAAAATTGGGACGCCGACACAAAAACTGGGAGGAAAACAAATCCCTTTAGTAGGGGCCAAATAACACCACAAAAACACGCATTGTTGCAGCACCGGCCCGCAGTACGAAACCATGTTGGATACGTGTTGGTTCATGTTGGAGGCCTGTACGAAACCATGTTGGAACGCATGTTCGACGTGTTGAAAACAAGTTGGTCATGTTGATAAGTGGTTGAACACAGTACAAGACCCACGTTCAACAGTTGGTCAGAGCCCTTGCGTCATGCAAAAGTTGGACAGCGGTACGAAAACAAGTTGGAACTCGGCGACAATTTTTCTGTTGGTTGAGGGGAGTTTTCGTCCGGCTTCGGCCCGAACCAGGTGCAACCGTGATCTTCCGGGTTCATAATTCTATACGTGTCCACCAGGCCCTGAGCGTCAAGAAAGGACATTAATAGTGTGTTGTCTGCTCTGAGCGGTGCTGGGTAAGAAGAGTCCAAACCCGGATTTAGCGTGGTATTCCAATCTCCGCATATAGCCAGGTTTTCCACTTCCGGTACATAGGCGGGCAGATTAGAAACAAATTCAGTTCTCTCAATGTGTTCCATCGGGGCATAGACTGACATAACTGCCCATTCTTCAGCCTCAATTTTTAACTTCACCCAGGCAAAACGCCCCCCTGGGTCCGCGTACGAATCTATAACTCTACAATCTAGGTCCTTGTGGATTAGAACCGCGACCCCTCCCTTCGAGCCGTTAGCCGGAGCCCACAGCTGCGGGCCGGGCCACCAATTCCGGACCATGTGAATCTTTTTCGAATTTAACTTCGTTTTCTGCAAACATAAGATGTGGGCATTTTTGGAGTGCACCCACTCCAACAAACTTGACCTCTTATGCCTGGAGGACGTGTCACCCAGACCCTTTACATTCCAGCTCACGAGTCTGACCCTATTGGGCAGAACCATGAATCTGGAGAGGGTCGCATGTGGTTTGGATGCGGTTGGTAGGATCTTGCAGAGCCCCTTCCAGTTGCACTCCCTGTATTCGGGCAAAAACCCTTACTAATTCTGTAAAGCTGCTGCTGGCAAGTGTTGGGAACGCATCTATTCTTCTCAGCCATTCCCATATGGCACAGGCAGAAAAATCCGTATTTATTCTTAAATTACCAAGTGATTCCGCCGTGCCTGAAAGTACGTTTTGCAAGGGGTACCATTGGGTTCTTTCTGTATTTCCTCCGATGAAGGATTCAGAAATCCCGTTCAAGCCCAAAAATGTCAAATAAAGAATAGTCTTCTTATTGTTTGGCAACGTGACAATATGTCGTCCCAGGCGTGGATAGTGCAGCAAAGCACACGAGCCCTGGTTGTGCAGCACGTGCTGCGTGGCCAGGTGGACCGCCTGCTCTTCTGTAACAACTGCCTGGACCCTTATAGCCGGGAAATAGAGAGACTCGTCCTCCGCTCGCAATGTGAGGGTCATTATGCCCTGCAGCGAATCCGAGCAGATACGGGAGGATGAAATATTCCTCAATAGGTCCTCCCACCGAGTCTCCCTTTCCCAGGATGACCATCGGGCGTGCATCCATCAAGACTTTTTTTGTTGTACGCTCCGAGGCGACCCTTTTTTTTGATAATGGGTTTCTTATATTTGTATTCAAGACAGGTTCTCCCAGTGCCTGTTCCTCCATTGTAATAATTGCCACGTTATCGTTTGATCCGGCCTTTTTCCGGGGGTTGTGCATAACGAGTCTCTCTGAATCTACATTTGGATCGAAGTGGATCGTGCCTTCTTGGAATAAACGTGGAACTGCGAATTCCAGATAGTCCACGGGTTCCTCCCCTTCGTCCTGATGCATGTCCGCATTGTCCTTTTCCATTTCTCGGAATGCCCGCTTGCTAACCTTTTTATTCCCCCGGGTGTCGATCTAAAACTGCAATTCCATGTTCGGCTCCGCCTCTTCCACTGGTGTGGAACCCACTTTTTGATTCTCAGTTCTAGGTGAATCGTCCCCCGGATCCTCAGTGTGCTCGCTCCCCTTTTCCATCATACATCCTTGGAACATGAAAGGCGAGGCACCAGGCGGGATTTCAATGGGAGCCCAGTTACCCTTCCACTTCATGGTGCGGCTGGGCTCGCCCTTACCCTGGTCCACGGCCACCCGTGACGCATCCGATTTCTAGGCTACCTGCTTCGTGGAATTTCCTTCCTCTTTCCTCTCCTTCCCCTTAATTTTTTCCTTCATCCCTTGTTCCTTTCCATCTCTTTCTCTACCCACTTCTCTAAAGACCAGTGAATCTTCCTTTTTCTCCCCTTTCCCCTTCCTTTTCTTTGCTTTCCCCTTCCTGCCCTTCTTCTCCAGCAGAGTTTCCTCCTTCTCCTCCAGGGCGGACCCATCCTTTCCCACCGGAATACGTGGATCCTTTGACTGCATGGTCCTTCCCCTTCTCCCCGTCCCCTTCCTTACCAGCCTCCTTCTCCGTACTCCCCTCTTTCTCCTTCCCCGTTGTCCCTTCCCTCTCCTATTCATTGGCCTTCTCCCCATTCTCTGATTTTCCCCCTCCTTCCTTTCCTCCATTGTCCACCCCTTCCTCCCTCTCTTTCTCCTTCTCCCTCTCCGTGTCTTTATCTCCCTCCCCCTCTTTCCGATAATTACCGTCTTTGTCAAGAGCAAGGCAAAACATCGCTCGTGGCAGAGCAAGGCAAAACATCGCTCGTGGTAGAGCAAGGCAAAACATCGCTCGTGGTAGGCATGTAGATGTACTCCACAGAAGTTAGGTGGGATCTGTCAACTGCCGAATGATGCCCCTGGTATGTGCCAAAGCGAGGGATGGTACCTACTTCTTAGCCCTTACGAACAATGAAGGCAACCCCTACATCCCATCCGAGGAAGTGAAAAAAACACCCACCCCCTCAGTGATCATGAAAACAACAAGGAAGCTGTATGGCGAGAACATCCCAATCAAAATCGTCCCAAGTGCGGACATGGTTATCCTCACCTGCAAGGCCTTAAAGGGGGCAGTCAAGTTCTACTTCCCTCTGTTTGATGCAAGAATTCCTCCACAGTATGTTGAGACGTTGGCACAATCCGGCGTCAAATAGTACCATACAAATATGGTGAGAGAGCGAGGTTCACATGAACCGGAGCAGATCTCAATGTTTCACAACATGAGTGTGTTAATTCTGGTAACCGTAAATGAGAGATTGTCATCCGAAGAAACACTTCAGTCGGAATTCATGACGACAAGGGTGACAAGGGACTGGGCAGTCCGCTCATGTGCGAGTTCTTCAAGGGGTAGTTCGAGTAACAACCCCTGATCACAGTCGATGGTGCAGGCTCAGGAGACCCCAGACAAAGCAGCAATTTTGGACCAATAACAACCAGATCAGAATGAACAGATTGAACAGATTGAACCAATCTATATCCAATAACAGGTGGAAGAACAACGAATCCATGGATAAACTCAAGGTGGCCACCTGGAACCTGAAAGGGCTGGGAGACACAAACAATAGACATAAACGAAGACACGTTAAAAGCAGGCTACACGATCAAAAGGTGAACTGCCTTTTGATCAAGGAATCGAAGCTAGATGAGGAGAAGTTGGAAAAATTGGGGAGCTGGTGGGACAGACCACTGATCTGGGCTCCGATACAAGGAACAAGGGGAGGAGTGAGAATCTTGCTACATCGTGACCTACAGATGAGGGTAGTTGAATCAGAAGTGGACATTTGGGGTAGGTGGGCATGGGTCAGGTTGGAGTCAGGGGACAAGGAGTGGGTGCTAATGACAGTGTATGCGCCCACGAACCCGGGAAAACAAGCCAGATTTTTTGCTAACCTGATCTCGCACATTCCAAAAATTAAGAAACTAATCATCGCAGGGGACTGAAATATGTCACTGGGTGAAGCGTTGAAGCCGGACTTACCCATTGCAGGAGGAAGAGACGTACGGACCTTGCTAGAACTGATAACAGAACTGAACCTATCAGATCCTTTCAGAGTTTTGTCACCAAATGATCCAGGCTACACCTGGGTCTCACACATCCAAAGGGAAAGAGGCACCGGGGCCCGGAGGAGGCTGGATTATTTTTTAATAGCCAGCCCGACGTTGGAAGGAGTGATAGTGGTACAACAAGTATGCAACCCACTATCCGACCACATACCGGTAATTGCGGAGATTAAGTTACGGATAGGCATAGAGCGAGGGGGAGGTTTTTTTTGTCTAAATGCACAAAACCTCGAAGATGCTGGTCTAATGGAATGGGTAGAACAACATATGAAAAATTGGGAGGAGACCAAACAATTGTTCCCATCAATAAAAGAGTGGATGGATGGGGGTCTGGTCATCATCTCAAGCGTCCTGAACATCTACTCGGAGATCCTAACCAGATTAAGGAACAATGAGGAAGCGGAATGCAAACGGAGAGGAGAGGAAGCAGAGGAGAGAATGGAAGGGCATCCGATATCGGCCCTGGCGTGGGCAACAGAGAGGGAAAGGCGGTTGGCAGTATGGAAGAACTTGCAGTTAGCAAAAGAACGACGATGGGCAAAGATGCTTAAGGAGAAGGGCATTGAAACCAATGATAAGATGAACAAAGAGTCCTTCCAGAGGCTGCTACCGCGTCGCTCAGTTCAACAAATGGTGGAATTGAAACACCCCTTTGACGGTGCTGCTCCAATGGCCTCCATGATAGCAGGAATGCTGGAGCATGCCAGACTTTACTATAAGGAAATCCTTATGACTCGACGCCCACAGGATGAGGTCACTACAAACCTCACGACAATTTCCAGCCTTTGGGAAGACACAAGAGTAAAAATCTCGACGCCGGCCAAGTCGGACCTAGACAGACCAATCACACTGGAGGATACCACCCAAACGTTGAAGTTCATGACTCGTGGCAAGTCCCCTGGGATGGACAGCCTGATGGTAAAATTTAACTCTAAATGTTGGAAGGCAGTGGGCCCGCCGCTAGTAGAAGTATACAATGGAGTGTTGGCGGGAGGTAAGCTAGGGAAGAGGATGACAAAAAAAAGAATAAGGCAGAGGTGAGGGACTGACACTCAAATCTCCCTGTTGAACGTCTCTTACAAAATCTTGGCCAAGACGCGTGCAAGGAGACTGGGACACCACCTACCTTTGCTGGTGGAAAAGGACCATGGTGCCTTTGTGCGTGAACGATCAATCTTCAACAATATAGTGACTGCTATTAAGGTACTAGAGGTAGTGCAAACTGAGAATCTCAACACAACGGTTCTCTTGATCGACCTGGAGAAAGCATACGATAAGGTAGGGTGGACGTTCGTCATGACCACGCTGAGGCACATGGGTTTCGGCGACGGGTTCTGCAAGTGGGTGGTCACACTCTACACCTTGTCAACATCAACAGTCATGGTAAACGGGTTTCTCTCCGCTCCTTTCAGATTGTCAAGGTTGCTGCGTCAGGGTTGCCCACTTGCTCCGCTACTATTTGTGCTGCAGATGGAGGTGCTCCTGAACGCATTAAAAGGCTCCCACAAATCAGCGGTCTGTACCTGCACGACGCGAAGGAGTGCAAGGTGAAGGCACTCGCGGACGACCTCTTCACCGTTTGTGAGAACATAGTGCCCGCATTAAAAGCATGGAAGGAGACTATGCAGGAGTACTCATCCCTGTCGGAAGCTTCTGTGAATTGGACCAAGTCTGTTTACCTGTTACCACACCAATTTGAGCTGGAGGTTGAATGGGGAATGAAAAGAGGAGGAAAGGTTCCTAGGAGTCTTACTTAGCCTGCAGGTTGAAACTTTTGCGCAAGGTTTCCTGCTTCATAGCAGGATTGCAGCTAGACTAAACTTTGTGGGGTTCTGCTTGGCACCTGTCGCTGATAGGCCGAGCCCTGGTGGCAAACATGGCGTTGTTTTCCATACTTTGGTTTGTAGGTATGATCAAAGGGATCGCAGACAGGGTCTTCGCTGCGGTGCGCAGGCTGGTTGCCCGCTTTCTGTGGAAGCCGAGATCCAAAAACGAAGAAGGGTTCATAACGAAGGTGGCTTGGGAACCGATTACCTTCTCACGTAGGGAAGGAGGCCTAGGCATGTGGGACCCGATGAGGAAGAACAAAGCCCAACTGATGTGTTGGTTATGCAAGGTAGCCATGACAGATTCGAGGGAGGACGGGATTGCCCTGGCCTAAAGACTGCTGATGAGGGAGTGGGGCCTTAGTAGGCCTGAGGATGTCCGGGCCTGTTTTTTTATGGAGTCATTCCGGAGGAAGCGCCTAAAATCACAGTTTTGGAAAACCATTATGAGAGCTTGGAAAGACGTGCCACCGGAGCCATCATCCCATCCCCACACAAAAGACGAAGTCCTGGCCCAACAGTTATTCGAAAACCCGAAGATCCTTGTACAGGATGACCAGTCCTTCTTTACAAACGACTCTACAGCCTCCTTCGGCCTAGCTTGGATAAGGAAAGGGGTCACTCTTATCCGGGACTCATGTTCATCACTGTTCGGGAACTGGGAACCATTGGCTGAAATCACATCTCGCCTGTTTGAATTCCGAAGGTTGGAAAAAAATTGGAAGGCCATCCGGGAGGCTATCCCCCAAGACTGGCTCAACATCCTAGGTCCGGAGGGGGTAGACGCAGTGGGCACTTGGAACGTCGCTGACGAAGAGGGGGAGGCGAAGGTGATGTGGAAAATAAAGGAAATTACTCCAAGTGGGTTCATAATGGTTGAGGAGTGGAAATGTGAGGGGCACACGAATGAACTAACGAGACAGGGAGATCAAATAATCCAGCGCTGGACAAGCCCACCACAGGCCAGAATAGTGGAGGTATGAAATTGGACAACCAGCCTACAATCACTTGGATAGGCCGCACTCCACTAAATCAACTACGGATAGATCCACTAGCTTGAAACTGGAACAAATCTGTTTCAGACGGGCCGGGAGACACTCGAGTTAACCTTTCGAAATACAACCCGAGAATGGGCTATGAGCTAGCCAACAGATCATCCAGAAAACCATCCAAAGTGCCTGCAGCCAGATGGACAGTGGTGCTACTAGGAAGCGACATATCGGTAACTGAACACCACTTTGAAATCCTGTGGAAGACACTCTGCGACCTCCCGAACGGGAAGCAAGTGAGTATCCTGTGGCTACTATCTATGATGGTAACCCCCTCTGCTGTCTGGTTACTGGGATGGGGAGTGGTGGTAGAACTGGGGTGCTCTAGTAGATGTCGTTGGCCATTTGAATCCACGAGACATCTGTGGTGGGAGTGCCCGACCTCTAAACGGGTGTGGAAGTGGTGGGCTCGACATTGGACGGAGATGGGCGCGGGGAAACCAGAGTGGGACAAACATTGGGTTGTGCTGGGTTTCCTGCCTGCTGAGATGCAAGGAACGAAAGGTTGGGGTTATGTCGCACATGTAGTAAGAGGCATAATCTGTGAGGTCATCTGGGCCGACAGGAACAGGGCAAGGTTTGACAAACGCAGAGACCAAAACAAGGATCAAGGCTGGGATCAAGCATGCTATCAGGGTGGACTGGAGGTGGAAAACAAAGACTTGGAAGGGGAGCAGGAAACAAAAGACCTGTTTTTTGCGCACTTGGGCCCGTGGGAATGGACTGCATGCGGTCCACTCGAATCGGGGTTAAATCATTTCTAGATGGTTATGGGATGTGGACAGGGATCAGTAGGATCAGTAGGACAGGCCAGTCCTCGCAGTGACTTAGTCACCGGTGGAGATGTGGGCCCTGGATCTCACAGAGCAATATTAGTTAGCCGGAGCCATCGACGAACCAGGGCACTCGGTTCTGTAGGGCCGTGATGGACCATTAGGGGAGTGCCTGTAGATTCTGTAGATTTTGGGTTTGGTCCTCTGGGCCGTGTTAGTCCCAGACTCAGTATAGAGGGATTAGCCCAACGCCGGTTGGCTAGCCCGTGGTAGTACTAGTCGCAGAGGGATATTATGCTCTTCTAAGAAAGTCGACTTCACTGCAACTGCTGTTTCTTGAAGGATGCCTGGATAACTTGATGTCGGGAACTTCAGAGCGATGAGTTCAAAAGGCAAGTGCCTGTAAGCTAACCTGGCTGAGGCTGCCAGATACTCCCGGGTCGAATTGTGAGGTTCCAGGGGCTAGGTCCCACTTACACGAATTAAGCGATATTGACCGTAGATAGCAAAGATTAACGGCCAGAATCTCTTAATCTGTGCAAGTGGGACCTTGCCCCAGGCCTCTTTTCCAACCATGTAATCAATTGAATGGTTTTATTGGAAAAAAAAGAAAAGCATCCAGCGGCCTAGCTCAGTTGGTAAGGCACGCAAGTGGCATTCAGGAGGTCTTGGGTTCAATCCCCATTGGCCTCATGTACCTTCCTGGGCATGCTTGGCGCTCGCCACCTAGAGATAGCCCGTTGGTCCCCCCAATTGGCATTAAAAAGCAGTCTCTGCTGATGTTCATAGGGGGAGGGGTACTCAGGGAGGCACAGCGACTGGCCACTCAGATGATGCTCGGTCCCTCTGCTATCGGCTGTCCCCTGGCCGGTGCCCCCCAGTGGGGGATCCCAGAAGGCTATCAGGCCACCCTAAGGCTATCAGGCCACCCTGGGCTGAAAAGGCCACCGTTGTCAGATTAGACACAAGATTGAATTTACCTGGGGGTTAGTCCGATGATAATACCTCAAGGCCATCGCCCGATGACCAGCGGCGGAGCGGCCAGTACGGGCGACTAGCGTAGCACTCCGTTCCGGACCGTCGCCGTACGCTTGTCGTCGGCGCTACCTGGCCGTGTACCCCGCCATCACGACGGGAAGCGGGTGTCGGCCATGTCCGTCTCTTCGTTCAGAGACGAAATACATGGTTCGCTCAGGTAGTCCTATAGGATAAGCTAGAGTAGGATAGTCTTGTGGTTGGAGTTGCGGATACGAGGGTTACGGGTTCATTAGCTCCTATGACTCTGAAGTAGCCCTGGACCAGGTGGAGTGTATTGTAATCTCCGAGGGCGACAGCTTGCCTCCGACTTCCCGAGGTTACTCGGTGGCGTCAACGAGCAGGCTACGGTGGCGTCAACGAGCAGACGCTGCTTCCTCTACCATCGTTAAATACCTGCGACGGACGTCGAGCGAAGGTGATGGCGAATCAGGATGTACATAGGAGGTGCGATCCTCCTAATCCATCGGCGACAGCAGGTATGGAGGAGAGATTAAGAATTTCGGTACAAAAGTGCTATATGCAGGGAGTTTGTCCGGACGATGCAGCGTTGGGGGAAGTAATAAAGGACAGAGAGGGGAAACGCTTTGTTGTCAACGGGCAAGCGAATGCAGTCAAAGAAGCATGGTTGAAGGATCATACTGTGATTGTTTCTTTTCAAGGAGAAGCGCGAAACCTCTCAAGACAAGTCAAGGAAGATCTAGTTAGAGCTTATGAAGACGGCTGGTTTGTCAAAAAATTGTTTGGTTCGACTACGAATAGAGGTCGAGTAAAATTCGAAGGGGCGAACATGGTTTCTTATGTCGCTAGATCGAAACATGGCTACTACGTCAGAAGGAGCTTAAGATCAAACTCCAGGTGGCGGAGGAATACGTCATGACGTTCAAACCGTGGCTTCCTCTTCAAGAACTGAAGGAAATCAGGCTCCAAGAAGCGGAGACGAGATTTTGGATTATGGCGTTGCGAGTGCCCTTGGATGCATACTACTACCTTCATAGTGTTGTCCAAGGCATGTTTGGAGAAGTGAGGACGATGCATCCACCGGAATTTGACAGCTCAAGACCGAAATTGATGAACATCAAGTTCGATATGGCTCCTGAGGCAAGAGAAAAACTTGACGACGACCTAACGATCCAAGCACCGTCGGGAGAAAGATGGAAGGTGGACATCGCCACCCCCTACACCGATTGGTGCAAAAAGTGTCGATGGTACTTTCACACAGAGGACAACTGTCCTCGAGTGCGTCAAGGAGAAGGAGTTGGCTTCTCTGGTCGAAGAATAGGGGGACATAAGGTGCGTTATTCCCAACATCAGCAGAGACAAGTCAGACAGACGGGTGGTACCCAGGTAATCGAGGAAAGACCTACTGTAAGTCGGACCGATCTTCACCAGGGCCCTGGCCCGAGCGCGAATCACCGCGACACGATTGCCACACAAGGTCATAATCCGAGATGGGCAGACCAAGTGGCGGTGGAATGCTTCACACGCGCTGAGCAAGGGATTAGAGGGGGCACGGGGCCACTGTATGGAGTGTCGGGTGCAGCAGGAGGAGATCGAAGTCCGGGTCCGCAAGGAAGCAATCCTAGGTGGATGGGTGCAGCGGCAGAAGTATCATGGAGGCAACCATCGCAGAGTCAGCCCTCCTCGCAGATGTTTTTCGGTCGGTACGAAGCTTCTAACGATCCAGGCCCAGAGGAAGGTATGCCTGGAGGGAGAGGTTACAATCATCACCTGTTTGAGCACACAGAAGGTATGCAGGGATTGCATGGAATCCCACAATGGAGGGAGAGGCCTGACTGTCAGACAGGTCAGAGGTCAAACTGGCACGCAGGTGAACAATTCGACGAAAGGGAGAGGCTGGCAGCCGGATCGATGCATTGGCGGGAAGAACGTTGGGGCACCGACACGCACGATGCACGTTTGCAAGGAGTAGAGCAGTTTCATCAGGACCAGTTCGAGTGGAGGGCACCAGCTCACCCTCTCCCAAGATACCCCTCCAACCAATACAATTGGAGGGAGTTTGTTCCTCAGGGAAGGGACGCTCACCCTATGACGTCTGGTCTTTCCTGGCGCCCGGACGGCCCAGGTCCATCTCGATTAGGGAGAAGGGTTCCAAGTGGTGATTGGAGGGATCAGGGGAGAGAGGGGGGCAGCGGAGGCAGAGAGGAAAGGAACTGGAGAACCTGGGGCAGGCTGGAGGAACGAGGCCGGAATGAAGATCGAGTGGGGGAGGGACGCTCCCATCAAGGAGGGAACTCACAGGCAAGATCTGGGTTACCGCGAGGGGCGGGTGGCGAACGGAACCGGATCCCAGAAGGGGATGAGGGGGCTGACAAGCCACGAGGGGAATTATCGAAGACATCGGCTTCCTCTCAGTCCAGAGTTAGATGGGGCAGCGAGTGGTATGAGGACGAGCAGGCTCTGATGCCAATAAAATATCGGAGAAGGAGGAAAGCATGGGGGTGGGGATGGACGAGCAGTTGCGTGATCAAAGAGCAGACATGCTACAAAACACTAAAGCGGAGAAGGTAAAAAGGAGAGTTGTACCAATCTTATGTACGATGTTAAATGAGGGGGTCTGCTTTTTGACGTTGGCTCAACCGGACGGTTCGCCATTACTACCGCCGCACAAAGTGGATCATTCCCCCACCCCTTTGGACATTCTTAATCTCACTAAATCTCTGTACGGGCAACATGTCCCGATTCGGCTAATCCCCCGCTCGACGATGGTGAGCCTCATTGTCGAGTCTGAGAACAGCTACTTTAAGCTTTACTTCCCCTTGTTAGATGCTCGCATTCCGCATGAGTTGGCGGACTCTCTCACACAGGCTGGGGTGAGATGGATCCAGCTGGCAGGATTGTCAATTGAGCAGTTAGATCAGATCAAAATCATGTCGGGCATTTCTGCGAGTCTGCTGAGAAGTGTCAACGAGAAACTGCAGATTGAAGAGAGCCTCCTGTCGCCTTTCTTAGCTGGAGCACTGACTGCAGACTGGCTAACAATGTCAGAATCAAATTCCTCCCGAGGCAGCACACGGGACAGGTYAAGGGCATCACGAAGATCTCAGGCCTCTCGAGGAACTGGTGYAGACARGTCCTCACAACTCCATTCCAGTCACATTCAGGTGGCAACCCGCATCCAAGATCAGGCGGAAGCAGGAAGAGTGGATGGACAAACTTAAAATGGTGTCCTGGAATGTTAGGGGGTTAGGGGACACGAATGGTAGATGGAAGAAGAGAAGTCTGAAGTCTTGGATTCACGAGAGGAATAGGAACTGCGTTATGCTACAAGAGACGAAGCTGTGTGAAGAAAAAATTAAGGCTTTGGGTTCTTGGTGGCAGGGACATCAGATTTGGTCCCCTACTCAGGGAACAAGAGGGGGAGTTTGTATTCTGCTTCATCAAGATCTGCAGGTGCGCATAATCGATAAGGAAGCTGACATTTGGGGCCGCTGGACCTGGATGCGGGTTGAACTCGAGAAGGTGGAATGGCTGCTCATGACGGTGTATGCTCCAACCAGTGCCAAGGAACGAGAGGGTTTCTTTAGAGGACTAATTGCAAGTATCTCGAAAGTGGAGAAGGTCGTCATTGCAGGGGATTGGAATAGGTCCCTGGACGACGCCTTATGCCCAGGCTCGGAGGTGGCTGGGAGAGGGGATGTCGTACGGCTCCTAGCATTGACAGACTCCTTATCTCTAGTCGATCCATTCCGTATTCTGAATGCAGACGACCCTGGCTACACCTGGACCTCGCACTTGCACCATAACAGGCAACAGGTTACTAGCAGGCGTCTGGACTATTTTTTGGGGTCAAACCAGCTCATGCCCAGAGTCACGACGATCAGACAAACTTGCAATCCTCTATCAGACCACAAGCCGGTTTCAACAGAAATCAGGCTCCAGGAGGGATGCGGTAGAGGTAGAGGTTTTTTTCGACTCAACAAGCAGGTAATTGAGGAGCCAGGAGTCCGTGAGTGGGTGGACGACCACATGGTCAGGTGGGAGAGCGCCAAGGAATTTTATCCAGACCCAGCGGACTGGCTGGACAACGGTCTAGCGATTGTGTCCGAAGTGTTGGACGTGGTATCTCGCATCCTGGCTAAGGCCAGAAATGCAAAGGAAGCTCAGTGCAAGAGGAGGGTGGAGGAAGCTGAGGAGAGAATGGAAGGTCACCCCATCTCCATGATGGTGTGGGCGGCGGAGAGGGAGAGGAGACTGGAAGAGTGGGATATTCTGCAGTTGCGGAAACAGAAAAGATGGGCAGAACTGCTCAAAGAAAAGGGAATTGAGACTCACGACCAGATGTCCAAAGAAACATTCCAGAAACTTCAACCTCGGCGGGCGACTCAACAGACTGTCGAACTCCGGCACCCCTTCGACGAGTCAGCACCAAATGCTTCCTGAGCGACAGGCATGCTCCTTTATGCCAAGATGTACTATGAAGATATCCTAACCTCGAGGCGTCCACCGGAGGAACCGACGTCAGACCTAGCGGGAAAGTCCGATATGTGGGAAGACACGAATGTGTCGCTGTCCGTCTCAGCGAGATTGGACTTGGACCGCCCGGTGACCTTGGCAGAACTAACTCAGACGGTAAAGTCAATGGCCAAAGGGAAGTCACCCGGTATCGACGGGCTGACGACCAAATTCTACAGCGCGACCTGGGACACAATGGGCCCAAAGTTGGAGGTACTCTACAATCAGGTTCTGACCGGGGGAAGATTAGGAAAGGGAATGACTCACGGGGTGATCAGCATGTTCTTCAAGAAAGGCGACAAGACGGAGGTGAGAAATTGGCGACCTATTTCTCTCCTCAACGTATCGTATAAGATCTTGGCGAAGACCCTGGCACGGAGACTGGGGAATCACCTGCCGGACTTGGTGGAAGGAGATCAAGGGGCCTTCGTTCGCGGCCGCTCGATCTTTAATAACATTGTCACTGCGTTGGAGGTCCTAGAGGTGGTGCAGTCAGAGAATATGAACACGGCGGTCTTGCTCTTGGATCTTGAGAAGGCCTATGACAAAGTAGGATGGCCATTTGTGTTCACCACCTTGAGAAGAATGGGGTTCGGCACGTCCTTTTGCAAATGGACCGTGGCGATGTACACACTGTCAATGTCCGCAGTAATGATTAACGGCCATCTATCGCCTTCCTTCAAGCTATCACGTTCGCTGAGGCAGGGTTGCCCATTGGCACCGTTGCTCTTTGTCCTTCAAATGGAAGTGGTGCTGAACAGAATTTGACGCAACCCAATCATCAAAGGCTTTCCGTTACACGATGGGTCACAATGCAAGGTTAAAGCTCTCGCTAATGACCTGTTTATCATCAGCAAGAATTTGAGGGAGTCTTTGGGGGCCATGAAGGGAATTTTAGTGGAGTACTCTCATCTCTCAGAAGCGACAGTCAATTGGAATAAGTCAGTCTTTTTGCTGTCGAAGCAGTTCGGATTAGTAGAACAATGGGGGATGGTGAGGATCCAGGACGGTGAGGAGGAGCGGTTCCTAGGGGTGTTAGTAAGTCTGCACGTCGACGCATCAACCCAAGGCTTGCTGCTACAACAAAAATTAACAGCGAGACTGAGACTGTGGGGGTACGTGTGACACTTATCAATCATTGGGAGGGCGCTGGTGACGAACGTCGCCCTGTTCTCCATCATATGGTTCGTGAGCTCGGTCAAAGCAATCTCAGAGAGTGTGGGGAAGGCCATGAAGCATTTGGTGGCGCGGTTTATATGGAAACCAAAGGCTAAGGAGGAGGAAGGGGTCATGGTCAAGGTGGCATGGGACTTACTTACCTTCCCACGAGTTGGGGGCGGTCTGAACTTGGTGGACCCTGCAAATAAAAACCAAGCTCAGCTGATTCTCAGAGTGGCAAATGCGCTGGCGAAGGAACACTGGATGCTGATTGCGGAACAGATCTTAATGAAAGAGTGGGGTCTGTGCCGACCACAGGATGTCTGGTGCTGTGTATTCATTTCGTCCTTCCGGCGGAATCCGGCGGAAGAGACTGAGATCTCAGTTCTGGCGCGAAGTAATCAAGGCCTGGAGCAGCCTACCACCTGATGGACGAACACAACCGGAGACGAAAGAAGAGGTCCAAACCCAGCTGCTGTTTGAAAACCCGCAGGTCACGAAGAGCGATGGGAGTTGGTTTAAGGCAGATGGTTCCACCGGCTCATTTGGGGCAGCTTGGATCCGGAAAGGAGTGGTCACCATTGGTGACTTATGGGAACCCCTCCTGGGTTCTTGGAAAGCACGGTCGACGATAGCAGAGGCGCTGTATCCGCTGAGGAATGTGGAAATACATTGGCAACAACTGTTGGAGGCTATCCCTGAAAGGTGGAACCAGCTACTATGCTAGAGGGGATCGATCCGGTCGGCACATGGTACTGTACAGCAGAAGGAGAGGCAGACGAAGTATGGAAAGTCCTCAAGATCCTTCCGAGTGGCTTCCGGCGAGTGGAGCGTTGGACCAGTCACAGGCACACAAACGAACTGCTCCGGTTGGACGAACAGGTCGTTAAGTCTTGGGGTAACCCTCCTCAGGCAAGGGTAGTGGGTCTGGGTGGTACCCCATTGAGAAGGAAGAAATGGTTCTGGGTTAGGCGTACCCCGCTCCGGAAACTGTGTATAGACCCGGAGGCTTGGAGCTGGGCCACGGGAGGGAGCAGGAGCACCCAGCTCCGGCTGACGGAAGCCACAGTGGCCAAGGGCTACAACCTGAGACTGCGGAGGGGAAACGTACGTTCCCCTATGGAAGTAGCACTCAGTCGGTGGCAGGCGGTCACAACAGAGGATCTGTCGAATGCAGGTCCCTCATTCTTGGCCCTCTGGGAGACGCTCTCCAAGATGCCAAATGGGAAGCAGGTGTCCATCCTTTGGATGATATCCCTCCTGGTAACTCCATCAGCGGTATGGTTAACAGGCAGAGGAATGCAGGTCGAGCTGAAACGCCCACGGTGCTCTTGGCCTTTTGAGTCTACCCGCCATCTATGGTGGGAGTGCCCTGCGTCCCGTCGCATCTGGAAATGGTGGAGTCAGCACTGGGAACATTTTGGAGACACAAGGATAGAATGGGGGGAGCGGTGGGTACTGTTTGGCTTCCTCCCAGAGGGGGTGCATAAGAAACAAGGTTGGGGGTACGTGGCTCAGGTGGTGAGAGGCCTGCTTTGCGAGATAATATGGAAGGACAGGAACAGGGCTAAGTTCGAAGGCAGACCCTTCTCAGATCCTGAGATCAAAGGGGCGGTTAGACAGGGGCTGAAAGAGGCAATTAAGGTAGATTGGAGGAAAAGAGCAAGAGCAGGGAAGGGGAGTGGGAGGCAGATAAGATGGTTCCTGAACACGTGGACGATCCGTCATCAACTGGCCGGCGTACACAGGTCGAAGGGCCTGGTCCTATCCCCTTGGGTAAGAGGGCCACTGGATAGGGCAGACACTCAGAGGATCTGAAGTGGTTGGTCCAGACCGGGTAGGAACAGTAGTGGGAACCAGGGCACTCGGTTCCCCAGAATTGTAGTAGGTCTCGCCGCAGGAGGCACTCAGGGGTGGTGGGTGGTAGAGTGGCAAGGGTACTGAAGGAACGCGAGTTCCAAGCTGCCGTGAGT